AAATCTGACAAGACTTTTTGTTTTTCTGTTTCCGACCCTGATACACTGTCTAATTTTGGTGATTTATTTAGAAGACAGGTTTTGGGGTTCTGGGGTTCTGTGGGTTAAAATCCAGCTTGAGCTCTAAACAGCATTTTCTTATTTATTTATTTTTTTTAATGCTGTCTGCATCTCCCTTCTCTTTTCTTTCCCTTCCTCCCTGCAGCTCCTGGCCTCATCCCGGGGTGATGGGGACAAGGTCCAGGCTGAACTGGGCAGGCTGCAGGTAGAGAGCGACTGCGCCAAGGCCGAGGTGAAGGAGGTGCTGCAGGCTCTGGAGGAGCTGGCCATCAACTACGACCAGAAGAGCCAGGAGGTGGAGGAGAAGGGCCTGCAGAACCAGCTGCTGGCCGACCAACTGGCTCAGAAAATGGTACGCTTTAAGAGGATTGGTGAGGAGACAGACTGGGAGCTAAAATCAGAGACAGGAGGTGGAACAGAAGGATCCACTTGCTTCCTTGTTGCACCATAGAGACAAGCACCTGTTGTAGCAGCACAGTTTCCATGAGTGGAAAATACTGCAGGAAGTATATGGCAATCAGATACTAGGATGACAAATTCTGATAACTTTAAAAGAAAATACACGTTTACAAACAAACCAAATTCTTATGAATGAACTGATGAAAACAAACCAAATTTAGGTAACATCTACACTCGACCCTAGAGTGATTTAATAAATGAAAATGGTCATAAAATTTTCCATCCAGACCTAATCTAAATGTTCTCCTACATTCTGTCAGCCATTCTACAAATGTATTATTTTAATGGCTTTTAGTGCAGGTCTGGATACAAATGAAAGGTTTTCTGGCAGAGAAAATGTTCGGTTTTAGCTCTCAAGCTCACTCTCTTTCCACTTCCATGTTTTCCTCCAGGCCAGTCTGATGGAGCTGGAGGCAGAGCTGTCTCGTATGCAGGAAGTGAGCGGTCAGCAGAGGAAGCGCATCGCCGACGTCCTCAACGGCCTGATGAGGGACCTCAGCGAGTTCAGCACCATCGTGGGCAATGGGGAGATAAAGCTGGTGGGTGGGGTTAGAGGTTTAATTCAGCAGACATACACTAAACGCAGCTGTTGTGTTGGAGATACTCTGGAGGGGAAATCAGTGTTTCCTTTTTCCTCCCATCCCCAGCCGGTGGAGATCAGCGGTGCGATCGAGGAGGAGTTCACCGTGGCTCGCCTCTACATCAGCAAGATCAAGTCGGAGGTGAAGAGCATGGTGAAGCGCTGCCGCCAGCTGGAGAACATGCAGCTGGAGTGCCACCGCAAGATGGAGGAGACCGGCAGGGAGCTCTCCTCCTGCCAGCTCCTCATCTCCCAGGTAAGGGATGGAGGGACAGCAGGGTGAGGGGGAGTAGCTGTTTACAGATGTAGGCAGGAGTTAAAAAAGAAACGGGCCAAATAAGGAAAAAACAACCGAACTGAATGGTTGGGTTTTGGTTGCACTGATGTTTTGTGGGTGTTTGTGTTTGCGCAGCACGAGGCGAAGATCCGCTCTCTGACGGAGTACATGCAGAGCGTGGAGCAGAAGAAGAGGCTGCTGGAGGAGAGCCACGACTCACTGAGCGAAGAGCTGGCCAAGCTGCAAGACCAGGGTAACATGCTCACCACACATGCACAGAACAAAAAAAACTGTCACCAGGATATTAGCGTGTAGCTTCGAGCTGCTCTACAGGTTGTTACTCTGCATCTTTTTCTTCTATCAGATAACTCGATTATGGATGAGAAGGAGGGAGAGAAGGGAGAGACTGAGGATGGAAATGTGAAGGTAAAAGGCACTATTACAAATGAAACTCAAACTGGGAAGATGCAAAGTATTTATTCATGTGTGACTGTTTTGTGCCATTTCCTGCCTTGTGTTAAATCTGTACAGTCTTACATGATAATCTACATTCATTCCTCTGTAGCTGCAAGTTTTTAATACAACAGTGAGAGAAGAAATTAAAAATTGAGATGTTAAAGTTTCCTCATCAGTCAGCATCTTTTATGAGACACTGTGCATTTGGTCTTTCTTATTTCCAGAAAACTCTCCGTCAGCAGGGGGAGTCCCACCGCGGCCTCCATCACAAGCAGCTGGCTCGCCTGCGGGATGAGATCAATGAGAAGCAGAGGATCATTGATGAACTCACTGAGTCAGTGATCAGCTTGACTCGTTTTGTTTTTCTTCTTTTACGCAAAGAAAGCAAAAATGCAGTAATTTATTCATATTAATTATTAAGATTTAAATCTGTCACAAGCTCATGCAGTGTGTAGCAGTGAAATGCAAAGTGACAAAGTGGCATTACAGGCTTTTAATTGTATTACTGACAAATTACAGGATTAAATATGCACACAAATGTACCAGTATAAAAGAAATTAATCAGTTTGTTTGTACATTTTAGTTTATTTTCTCCCCTTTCTCTTTTTTACCCTTTTTTTTACCTCTCAGTCGTAACTCCAAGCTGGAGCTGGAGCTCGCTCAGGTTCGCGCTGACTTTGAACGTCTGAAGAGTCAGGACAGCACCAAGAGCGAGCGCCTGGAGGAGCTCTCGTAAGTGTTGGGGAGACCAGTTTTGTCAGGCTACATTACTTAGTGTGGTTTAAGCAAAATTTGGAGAACATCACAATTATAAAGACCATGTATATTATGGCAGTCGTGCATTTTTAATGACTCCTATAACACTTCATTTTCTATGATGGAATCGGGAAAAATCCACGAATCTTTTTCACAAAAAAACAATCATGCACTTTGGTTCTTTTATAGCTTTATTGTAGGGCTTCTAGGAATATGACAAAATCTGCTGGGTCAAAAATATACATACAGCAACTTGACTTATTAGTTTTAGTGACATAGACAGTAGTGTTAATTTTTTTGTTAGTTATGGCCTCTTAACTTATGATTTCGATTCACTACAGCTGCTGACTTCTCTGAGCCAAATTTTAATAGGGCCCATCTGATGCACTTAATTGATTCAGACCTATGAAAAAAGCTAAATGCATGACTGCAGACACGTGTTTCAAAAGAGTCATAGGAGTCATTGGATATCTGATATACATGATCTTACAAGTGTAGAAAAAGAGCAGAAAACAAGCTCTTTGGTGTCTAATTATTTTAAATGGAGGATGTAAAATATTAAGGACAGTCAACACAGTCCAGTCTCCCTTCTCTTCAACTTCCAGCAGAGGGTGCTCAAAACAACACAAACACATTGCAGTGCTTTGTATGCATAAATGCCGTCCTACTTATAATAATGCTGCGGCTGTTTTTTTTTTTCTTCCAGATTCCTGCATGAGCGCCATGAGCAGACCAAACAGGACTTGAAGGGTCTGGAGGAGACCGTCGTAAGTAAAGCAGATGCTGCCATCCACCCACCTCATATTTCACATCATCCAGAGCTATCTCCTTTAACCTGCTGTCCATCTGTGTGTGTCCTCCAGGCCCGCGAACTCCAGACCCTCCACAACCTGCGCAAGCTGTTCGTTCAAGACCTCACGTCGCGGGTTAAAAAAGTAAGACTCAAAACGTTTTTGTTTTTTTTAAAGTGCGTTATGAAATTTGTAATCTAAATACTCCCTGATAAACCTCAGTAGGAACAGCATCAGCATCCTCAGCCCTTCTCACTACATGGAGTTTTTATATAATGCCTTAAGAAACTCACTTTTTGTGTAAATTAGACACAAGCATCCAACAGGAAGGTCAGGCAAGAGGCAATGTCTCATCATGCAAAATACTGATTAAACGACTCTTCTTGTTTTTGGGATCTAAAAGGGGCTTTTACTCTTTGTTTCTGTCACTGATCTCCATCATTAAGAAAGCTGAAAAACTAAACAGCAGGGATGAGACTCCTGTAGTCATTAATCCACAATAAAACATGTTAGATATCTAAGTCCTTCTCACAGTAATCAGTGAGTAACGGGGATGTGTCTGCATTGGTACAATACAACATTTCTTTCCCAACCATGCTTTCTATTTCATTTTTATTTATTTTTTTTGTCGTTTTTTTCTTGCAGAGTTCCGAAATGGAACCTGATGATAGCGGGGGGTCTTGCACCCAGAAGCAGAAGATTTCCTTTCTTGAGAATAACCTGGACCAACTTACAAAGGTTCACAAACAGGTAAGAAACACAGACTTTATATAGTCTGCAGATTGGATTTCATCAGAACTCAGGACAGTGGAATTATGATGTTGTCATTCCAAGAGATAACAGCAGTTTAGAGATAATGTTTGTGTTACTTGTACAAAGTACACAATCAAACTGACAACCTGAGTTTAGATTGAAGAATTATTGATTTTGAACATATTTTAAGTCATGTAAATAAAGTATGTTGAAAATGCACAAATGTACAATCTATTTGTTTTTCTTTGGGCTGGTAAAGATGAAGACAAAGTTGAAAGTCATTCCGTTTTGAACACTTCTTCCAGATGTGGTGTTTGTCCAGATATTTTTATTCCCCTCTTTGTTTTGCTCTCTTCGCTCCAGCTGGTTCGTGACAATGCAGATCTGCGTTGTGAGCTTCCAAAGTTGGAGAAACGTCTTCGGTCTACTGCTGAGAGAGTTAAGGCCCTGGAGACTGCACTGAGGGATGCCAAGGAGGGCGCCATGATGGACCGCCGCCGCTACCAGCAGGAGGTCGACCGCATCAAAGACGCCATGAGGGCAAAGAGCGCCCTAAGGCGCCCCCATGCAGCACAGATCGGTACTACACTGAGCTATTTTATTCACGCTTTTGTTTTTGTTGTTACTGGGGATGAATGTAAAATGTCTGCAAAGCAACATACTTCACCTGTTCGACTGACACTTTCATTGCTTCTGTATCTTAGCTTACATCCCTTCTTGTATTTCTATAGCCAAACCAGTGAGACCAAAGCAGCTGCCAGTTTGCTCTCCCACCAACCCATTCTACACCTACATCCGAGCCACTGAACACGCCAACACCTACAGCAATGCCCTCTTCCAGAGCAGCATGACACAGCCGAGCTCCTCCAGCGCCAACTGCAACCCCAACTCTGTCCAGAGCAACACGTGAGTCTGAATTCTGTCTTTCACCCACTACAGCAAGACGTTACATAATTTAGTCTGGTTGCTTTGACACAGTGAACCCCAGAACTTGCCGACAGGTTTGAGAGCTATGTTCTCGTTTAAGAAATCACAAAAGTACACCATTTATCAAAGCCAGAAACTGTAGAAACAGAAGGAATCCCCAGATTTTCTACCTCCTGACAGCACTTGAGTTCGTCATGTGTTGCTTTCAATTTTGTCAATATAATGAATTAAAAGTCATCTTAAATTGGGATCTTACATCAAAAACACTTTCTTGCATATGTCTCATTTAAAAATTCAGTAAAAATAAATAGTAAGCAGATTCCGTAATAAATAGAAAATTCTGCCCCTCATGGCGTGACTGTGAAATCCTTAATGACTTAACTGCAACAAACAGTCAATTTAAATATCCAGCAGCTCTGTGTAGAGTCTTGGTATTGGTAATATTTGACACTAGGAAATATTTAGCCCATTTTCATGCCATTTTTTTTTCTATTTTGTTAAAATTAATAAGCAAAGAAAATCTTTATTTTCTTTCCTCATTTTATAATTTAAGGCGAGATAACGGTGTGATGTGTAACAAAATGCACTTTTAAGTTCTTTCTGCTTCTGGCCTTAGCTGTGCTGTTTCCATAGAGGTGCAGAACTTAATACTGAGGTTAATAATGAGCCTACAGAGAGTAGAAATGCGACAGGATAAAGAAATGCCCAGAAACAGCTTGAGGTTCAGAGGGTTAGAAACTGACTTTCAGGGTCATGGAGACTCTGGACTCGTCTCCAAACTAGTGCCTTCTGTTGCAGTCTGGGATTCAGCATTCAAATCAAGTAAGACCTTTTGAAGCAAATCTAAGTAAAAGTAAATTTGTGGCAAAGTGTGGAGGAGTCGTTTCTACAGCATGTGATTACAAACTACAACTGGCAGACGTCTCACTTCAATATCAACTATTGATTTGACACTATGCTTCCTTTTTACTCACACTACCTCAAGATCTTTTAAATTATGGCATCTCACAGGTCTTCATTACTTGTAATGTCACAGTGATGTTTAACTGTGCATGTCTTTGTTTTCCTCTGTGGTGTTTTACAGAGTTTCCACAGCACTGGGCTACAGAGCAGGAAGATATAATGGAGACATCCTGGAGTCCTACCCGCTCAACATTGACAACGGTAAGTGCAGCAGGACATCCCTGATAGTTGTGTTTTGACAATGTCATAAACTTCATGCTCTTTTGGTGATGCAAAACTATTTATTATAGTATCAATTCTATCTATGAGTGTTAGTAAATCACTAACAGTATCGCTCGTGTTTGTCAGTAAAATTAAACTCTTATTTTGTGTCCAACAGGTAACAGCATCAGTGAAACCAGAGACATCAATGATAACAGGTGAGGACGTCACTAATGTCTGTACACAGCTGGAACTGGTTTATGTTCACTTTAACTTTCAGCTTGATTAGAATAAAAATGTATTAGCCATTTACCAGTAATTTTAGTCCTGGTTAAGTTGAGAAAGAGAGGGAGAATTTGTGTTAAAGCCTTTACAATATGCTGAAATGTAAATGTAAAAGTCTAGCCATGTTGTTATCAGTTTAATTGTGAATTTGACAGCTGTACTTCTTAAAAAAAAGAAAAATCCTGTTTTTCGAACCAAAAGTTTAAAACAAAAGTCAACATCTGATACACAAAATCAAGGTCTCAACGTTGAAAAACGGTTTTGGAAGAAGTTGAACACTTGTATATACCAAAACCCCGATGGCAATAACAACTTATATATTGACACTTTCACAGCGTCTCATCAGAATATTTAAGCATAAGTTAAAAAATAAATCATAACACACAATAGACACAATGTTTATACTTCATAGGACTGTTAGTAGGTCATGTGTCCAGTAGACGTGATAAGAATGACATCGCCGGTTGTGTGAAGACCGTTGTGTTTGTGTGTCTGCGTCAACAGGAGTGACGTTCACTGCGGCAGCGAGGTGGATGATTCAAACAGGCACTACATCATTCAGCAGGAGACTGCTGCAAGTTAATGCCATGGTAACTGACAACGTGCACACAGTCATACATGCACACGTTTGTACTTGTGTGTTTGTGAGGACACTTATTCACAAAGCATTCACTGGCCCAATAAACTAACATTGACAATTACAACTGAATGCCTAACCTCTAACACTCACTCTTATCTTAACCTGATTGTATAACGAACTAAACATAAAAAAATATACACATAGAAAATCATGTTAATAGAATATTCTGTGGGAAAGTGACTCTTAATGAGGGGCAAACAAAGACATCAGTGTTATACTACTTAAGCTATACTGTCTCTATGATTAACATAAACCTCACAAGTAGGATGAATGATTTTCACATCTGCAAAAAAATAAGCAGAACTACACAGTGCTAGAGTCTATAACCTACAACAGGAACACTGCTTGACTGGCTATAAGAAGGATGAAAGGTTACAACATTAGGGCATTGTAGCATGAACCATTTACTAAAAATAGTTCATACTTGTGGTGATAGATGCACAAACTGAGAAACCAGTGTTTATTTAAATCCCTTTTAATCAGGCTGATAGCTGTTGTCTCGCCTTCCTTCAGCCTTTTGACCACAAGTCTCAAAGTTTCAAGCAGACTCCCACACGCTGCATAACTTGCAAAAATACATTCATTAGCAACGTATCGGTGCTAAAAGAAACGAGAAGCCATCTAAAGAGGAAATGGCTGTAACCCTGCAACCAAAGAACTTGATCGGCACAGTATAAGGAGGCATGAATTACCAAAAAATCATGACAGCTTTTAAGACGTTGCATTGCCAAATATATTTTTGTGAGTCAGACAGTGTACAGGAGTCATCATGAAATAGATTTGTGAAGAGTTCCTTTGTCTTCAAGCACATAAGTCTTAACTCATTGGTCTCCATGGATTAGTGTGCAGTCGGGTTAGAGTCTCCACCAGGAAAAATAAACACAAACACTAAAATGTACTCACAAATCACAGATACTTTAAGTTTGCAAAAGACAGACGATCAGTTACGTTTACTGTCTGTGAAGTTAGTTATCATTGCATGGTAGTGCAATTGTGAGAAATGGCTATTTTACCCCTTCATCTAAAGTTAACATGAATACAGCTTTTTGTTTGATCTTAAATATTTATATGTGCATCATGAATGAAATAAAAAGGAAATTGCCTGTAATTGGAGTGAAAAAACTAATTTGAAATAAATAAATGAACGAGGTTGGCGCAGAGGTGCTCATAATTACTTTCCAAACACTATCATGACCGGACAACCACGGACTTCTTAGATGTTAGAAAGTGCTTCTCTTTGTAAAAATATACGTAACAAATGCAAAAGCTGATTTCTGATCATGCAGTAGATGTTTTAACAGATCTTTGTGTTTCTCTTCTCTGCTTTTATTGTCTCTTTGCAGAAGACGACCAAACACTGTACCTGTCCAAGGACCCTCCCCTCCCATTTGCATGCAGCCTGTCTCCCCCGTCCCTCCACTGCAACACCCATGAAGATGAAGATCTGTAGCCCTGTAGTCTTCTGATTAGATGAAGCCCCTCCTGCTCCTATGGTGACCACTCTTGCCCTCAGGTTTGGGGTCCGGTCCCTTCCAGTTCCATCAGTAGTAGAAGTAAAATAAATCAGTTTTTTTAAAATACTGAGCATCCACTAAATCAACTCATTGGTTCCTCACTCAGCCAGTTTGTCACCAGATATCCCTGAGGTTGATTACCTCCTGCGGTGCTTGAACTGAGACGGGCCGGACCCCCTACCTGATCACTTAGTACACATGTTGTAAATAATAGTGCTGTATACTCCAGTAGAGGTTTTTGACCAGCAACTGTTTGTGTGAAACGCACAGCCTTCCCCATCCCCTGCACACATCTTCTTAAGGGCATCATGTGGGTGACATACTGTAGGCAGACATGACCTTTTTCTCCGTCGTAAATAAGAGTGTAGTGCGTAACACCAGCTTGTAACAGAAGACCCACACTCTGCGTGCATGTCGCTTAGCGGGTTAGCTTTCAAATCTTTGCATGTGTCATGATTCCAGTCGGGAGAAGGTATGCTGCGAGTGAAGTGTGATCGACTTCGACAGATGCCAGAGAAGGAAACCTGTTTCCCCTTAATCCTGATCCTGGTCTCAATGTTTCAGATTTTCTATTTTAAAGTAGATTTGAATCCAAGACTGGGTTAAACACAGAAAAGAATAAGAAAAAGAAAAAAAAACAAGCTCTACTTTTAATTTAACTGAAAAGAAGTCATGCCGGGGAATCCAGGCTTGCAGTCTGTATCGAGGAATCATTTTGTATTTGCTTTGATACTGTGATGTTGCAGCTGTATGATGCCACTGTACACTTAAAGCAACGATGCCCACATTCATTTAATGTGGCTCTTTTCCTTGTGAGTCTTCTTACAAAGCCTTAACAAGAACTGAATTCTCACAATCAAACTAACACGCTGTCATTTGCATACATTTGTAATTACTACCTCTAGAGCTGCTCATGATATACCCCTCCTGCAGTATTCTAATGTATCATCCTTTCAAATAAGAGCTGATCTTAGAGTTTCTATGGAAAGTTGCAACTTTAGAGCATCAATACTTGTAAGTAGATTTAAACGCTCTTATCACAGCTGTAGTTATCCTCTCCTGCAAGTACGTTCATACACCTCTCCGCCATATAATAAGATCAGAGCTGGGCTTAAATGGTGCTTGCAAGAATTTCTTCATGAAGCAAATCAACAGACGTTCTTGAACTTTTAAGACTGAAGTTATAGTGCAAACGTCTATCTCTCTTTCTCTACAAGTTACACACGTTTTTTTTAAAAAATTATTTTAAAACGTACCTGAAGTCAGAACTTTTTAAGACTGTAAGGATGCAGTTTAGTGGTTCGGGAGTGAGTCTCCAGCTGAGCAGCCACCAGTCTGGGACACTTTGACAGACATTTGTAGCTTGTTGTCAGGATGTGCTGTTGTTCTTCTGCAACGAATCCTGACCAGCCAATCAGGATAGAAGAAGCAGCACGTCTTAGGTGGGAAATGATGGATAAATGATGGCGAATCGCTGAATTAAAGGACAGATCAGAGTGAAAGCGTGTAGCAAAACAACACATCTACGTGAGAGAAAGAGTTCATTTTTGAGTTCCATTTACGTTTACACTTTGATCAGACTTATTTCAAATGGATCTGATTTGTGTCTTCAGAGTTTAATTGAGCATCTGTGACCCCCTTAAATATTAGATTTTATACTCAAAAATACGTATTTATGTAAAGTTGGTGGGTTATATTCCTTAACAGGACCCCGGTATGTAAATTGTACGACCTTCCCTATTCATGTATTTAACATCCGTCGCGGCACCACTCGGCCTGTTGCTCTTGCTGGCATTAACAACATCTCAGGGCTTGACATCCACAATCATAGCAGCCATGGGTCACCGCCATTGTCTTCCTCCTACGACTATGTGATTTTTTCTGATCAGGTCAGTGTGTCCTCTTCAAGGCTAAGCAGAGGAATGGGGTGACAAATTTAATATTACAAAAAAAAAAATACTGTACATATATAACATTTTCATTCTACCACATGACATCTACAATGAAATAATCTCTCATCTGCACCTGGTCAGACCCTACTGTACGTGTCCAAACAGACCCTCTATTTGACATCATGTTTTAAGTGTAATAAATCTGAATTATGGGGGGGGGGAGTGTGTACTATACTGTCACCTGCTGTTACACTGTCTGATTTCAACATATCTAAAATACATGTGCTATATATTGTTAATCTTGTAAGTACAATAGCGTGCCGCGACATAGTAAGATGCAGAGAGAAAGGTGCACGCTAACTTTGTTCAGAGAAATGTTTGTTTTATTTATTTCTGTATGCCTATACTGTAGCGTCAAACATGATTAAGTGAAGAATCACCGTGCAGAACTCCTGTATATATACTGTAGACTCATCACTATGCTGTATTGTATGTGAACTACTGTGTTGTAGTAAAAAGTTCAATAAACTTGTAGAAAGGAGTTTGTCGGAGGGTGCAGAAGTTTGTTTGACTTTCAGTGAAAGTGAGAAAAAAAGGCCTTCAGCACAGCTTTGTTGAGTTAAAGTAGCACTCAAAGAGCACAAACTAGTTCTTAATGCAGAGAAAACTAAACATATGATCTTTACAGGGGATAAAAATATTGCTAACCTGGTCATCTCTAGTTTGAGTGGTTTCTTTTGCAGGAATAAATCATGTTTTTGGCTGCATTGTAGAAACACGCTAACTCAGGAAACTCCTCTTCAAATGCTGGATTGTGGTTGTATTTTATAAATGCATCAGTGGCCACTCTTCAGCCCTTCGACCCTGTTTATCGCTCTGCATTAGGTTTTATTACTGGTACTATTTACAATACTCATGAGAGACACTAAATTTTATTTATTTACAAGGCCCTTACTCATCTTTTACCCCCTAACGTAACCTCGTTGGTGTCTTTTAATGAGGTCTTTTACCAAACATGCTTAAATGATTGGATTTATGTTGCCGGCTTAGAAAATCCAGTTTCACTCACCTTCAATCTGCAAAACAGCTTAAAGCTTGATTAAATTTTATCTGCAGAAGAATTTAGTTTTTTAAATTCAGCTTGTTTCACTTCTAGCCACTTTATTTTTTTTTTTTAGTTGATTTGTTTTTACATTTTGAATACTCTAATTAATGTATTTATTATTACTAACTTTGCCTTTTAGTATTTTTTATTATCCAAATTTCTCATTGTGATCTTACATTTTCCATCTATTCAGTGTATTCAGTTAAACAGAGGTTGTGAATGAATGGATGAATGAATGAATGAATGAATGAATGAATGAATGAATGAATGAATGATGTTTAAAAGGGAGGAGGTCCCACACTGACAGATGAAAGTGGAGCCATCTAGTGGATGAAAATGGAATGAAAAGCAACTGAAATGAGCGACATCACTCCTCTTTCAGCAAATATTCTCTAAGAGGAAACCAACAGTTAGACTAAAATCATATTATCTGATTCACAACTGTATATTTTACTCTTCTAGATAAGAAACCGTCACTGAGCTGCTGTTTATAAGTTCTGCTGAGCTGCGTGTGTGCTGAAGACTCTCTGTTGTTATCACAACCTCTGACCTGAAGAGGAAATGAATTCTCAAGCTATGCTGTGAAAGAAGCTTTTGCCAAAAAAAAAGTGATGAAATGAAGAATGAAGAAGAAAAATATGATTCACAGGATTAATTCCCATCCTGTACATATCAAAGTGACGGTTTCATGTAATAATGTAGAAAGTAAAGTCCTATCAGACATCTTTACTGGAGCTCCACGTGTCTGAAAATGCTCCATCAACCACAATAATCACTGTGTTGGTGTTCAGATGGACATTATTGACGTTTACTCTGTGTGAACCCTGATGTTTTTCAAATTCTGTCACGCTGATGGAAGCCCACGCCGCAGACGAACTTCCTTTGTGCCCTCTCAGAATAAGCTGCTCTTCATCGTTCCCACGAGAAAGGAAGCAGTGATGTAAACAGCAGAGGCATGTGGAGCATCTTCTGTGCTCATAATAGCACACCTTAAACTCATACAGCTACTGCTCAGACCGGGGTGGATCAGAACATTTAAAGTCTACATTGTTACAGCCATATCTGGACAAAAGTGGTACATAAAGTGTGTTTTTGAATATGACAGATGCAGTGGATTCTCAGACCTACACATGAGAGGTTTATTAACTGCTATTTTTAACTGATGCTGTTCAAATGAAAACCTCAGAGGCCTGGATTGCAAAGATTAAAAAGCTTACATTACATTACATTTAAACACTGTGGTGACTTTGGGATGTTCTACATATACAGTAGTTATAGTTTGACATGAAAGGAGTTTCCATTTAAACCAATATCAGTGGAAATATTTTCAATAAAATACAAGTTTTTATATCCGTTTTGAGGAAAATAACTCAGTGTGAAGCAGTTAGTCAATTAATAGATGACATAACTCCCTTAAGACAATAAAGTAATGCAATTTTTGACAATTAACTAAAGAAGGTTATCTGTGATTTTGATCCGTGTATCAGCCTGCATTTGTTTCAGTCACATATCAGCACGATTGAACCGAAAAGTTGTTTGATTCAGCCATAAATATTAAGAATTTATCTACTTTTTTGTGGACACTGAAGCCTTTGGCTGTTGGTTTTGAGACATTACTTTGGACTTTGAAAACATGTGGTGGACATAGCTCATGATACTTTTATTATTATTATTATTTGTAGATCACTGTGGGTAAATTAAAAAAAAAAAAAGAACTGATTTTAAGATTTTTTTATTTTTTTTAAATTGGCCTTTCTTGACTTGTTTTTGCTTGTGGTGTAAATATAGTTGCGTTTACACCGACAAACAGAGGAAAACACCGCTTCATTAGTGCGGGATCAATATTCAATAATCAATATGTGAAAGCGCCACGCTAAATTTAGTGATTGATATTCCTTATAAGGTCTAAAACGGTCCCAGCTCCCTGCACAGTAGCTCAGATGATTCCTCCCTCTGTTTGGTTTCACCCTCTCTCTCCAAAAGTCAACGATTTCCACTCACTCGGCGCGCGTCCCCGCTGCGCGCTCCCCCCTCCTCCTCCGCCTCCTCTGTGGCTGAGACGCCGGAGAGAGACTCTGCGGCACCAGGAGGACGCTGCACTGCTGACCCGGACAGCAGGAGAGACCTTCAGTAGCTCCAGGTGGACAAACAGACAGACGGACAGGCGGAGCTCGGAGCCTCCGGTGCGTCTGTTTGTGCCGCTGCGGCTCCAACAGTGTGCGCAGGAGCAGCGACCAGCGAGGCTCAGTAAGTTTGTCAGGGGATGTGCTCGTGATTAATGACCTTTAATGTGACATCCCTTTTTTTTGTGTGTGTTTCATCGTAAAATGCTCAGGCAGAGTTGTTAAAGTTGCTGCTCCAGTGAGATGTTTGGTGTTTGGAGTTGGCACCGTGGTGACTAATGGACTTGTCGCATGATGGTGTCAAGCTGAACCAACACTGTTTGCCCTTTGGAGAGGCTCAGAATTTACTGCAGACTGAAATGAATGAGTTAAACGTGCACTTTTTGTTGTTGTTGTTGTTGCTTTCATAATGTCCACTGTTGGCCCTGTGCTGGCTGTGTTTATGTGGGAAAAGGCCAATTCTGTGCATAAACCTGCACATTTTACTGGAGCTGCATGAAGGAAAGCTGTGCTGTTTATTTTGACACTGCAAGCAGGGAAGAGGTTCACTTCATCTACATGCATGTCTGCATTTTTTTGCATATGCTGCAGTGTGTTCCTGGCTGATTGTCATTATGGCTCCAACAGGAAGTTCATTTAACAGAGCTGCTGGATAAACTTTGGTATTATCAGGTTTAAACAGTTATTTTAATCAACCTTTAGTTTGAACTGAAAATACACAGACATTATCTGTTCTAAGTCTAATCATATCTATGTAAAGGATGATTTATGTCTTTTTTTTCAAACTCATGTCAGCTCTGAGGGTTGTGTTTCAGTATCAAGAGGACGCAGCTTTTCTTTTAATCAGAAGCCAAGGAGCCGCTGATAATCCTCCCGGCTGTTTGTTCTGCTGCTGGTCAGCAACATAAACCTCAGACTGATGATGTGATGACACGCAGACGTACTCACACGTGTCGGCCGTGAATCAAAATTAGCGTGATTGAAGATTTGACTGCTCTTCAAAAGGGGATGATACCTAATATTCATGCTGTGTTGCTTGTTGCTAAATGAAAGATTTGTGTAAAAGCTGCTGACCTGTACTGGTTCATCCACACCTCTGCAAGCTTTTTAACAAGTTTTAGACACATTTATTGTAATATCATGCGTCTTTTTTGTCTCTTGATGGACGTGGATGAGCTTGAAGTTGTAGTTTCTTGTTATATTATTCTTCAGCTGTGCAAAACCATGACAGTGAGATGTGATAACTAGACAGGAGTTTGAGAATTTCCAGTCAAACCAGTATCAGTGGGAATGTTTCTGTATTTTTTTCATGTTAGTTTTAAAGAAAATGGCTACTTGTGCAACAGTTGGTCAATTTAATGTATAAAATAACTCACAGATGATGAAATAACGCAACTTTGAGTATCATTAAAGATGACTATCAGTGATTTTTATCAGCCTGCATTTGTTTCAGTCACATATCAGTCGAACTGAATTGAAAAGTTTGTTGTTTCCGCTCTAACTCTGACGAATTTATCATCTTTTCTTAAAGAAATATTCTTAAAATTGCAAACTAAGTACATTGAGGCCTTTAGCTGTTGGTCTTAAGACGTTACTTTGGGCTTTTGTAACCTGTTGTGGACATATCTTATGATTTTTGATGCTATTGTGGGTAAATATTGATTTTTTTAGAAAGTAAAGAATAGATTTTAAGATTAAGAAAATGTATGACCTGGACTCTGTTTGGTGGCTTTTGTTTGTGGTAGGGATATATTTAATTAGCCTGCATTTGTTTTAGTCACATCATCCTAAATGAACTGAAGAGTTTTTTGTTTTAGTTTTTTCTTTTAAAGGAATAATTTTGTAAACAGTGCACATTGAGGTTTGTTGGTCCCAAGATATTAATTTGGGGAACCTGTGGCGGACATATCCAATGTTTTATTCATAAAAAAAAAAGGCTAAATATTGTTCTTAAAACATCATGATTAAGTTTTAAGATTGGAAAAATGCGTGCTGCCCTCCTGTCAGTGTCATTCGCAGCCTAATGCTGAGCGTTCCTCCTGTGTGACCTGGACACTGTGGCTTCAGTCATGTAACCAGCTGTTACTGTCCGTCTGCGTCCTCCCTGCTCCGGCTCTCTTCTTCTTTGCTGTGTGGGCGAGGTTATAAATAAGAGGCTGGAGGTTTTTTGCATGTGTGTGTTGTTTAACCAGCTGCTGGGGAGGTTTGTTTGTCTCCTCTGAGTGCAGGTGTACCGCCCGGCCTCTAGATGCTGTTCTCGGGCCTGTTTTCGAGGTTTTCAGTTACCACCCGGCTTTTACCTCAAGAGCTTGGGTCTG